GCCGGGTTGACCCGACCCGACCCGGGAAAGGTGTCGCGTGGGGTCGGAGCGGACGAGGCAGCAGCGACCCAGCGAGGTCGCACGGGGTCGGGCGCGGGGTCCGGCACAGTGTCGCGTGGGGTCGGAGCGGACGAGGCAGCAGCGGGTTCGGGGCATGTCCGCGTGGTTAGGTTAAAACGGGTTGGCGAATCAACCCGGCAACCCGCCAGGTCAACCCGAACCCGACCCGTTTTACAAACGGGTCGAAATCTCTAACCCGAACCTGACCCGGTTCGGGTTGACCCAAACCCGAAATTTTCGGGTCGGGTTTTCGGGTCGGGTCAAATGTTGACAGCTCTAGATCTAGCTAAGAGTAGTCCATTCCAAGGTAAATTGATAATCAAAAGTTCACCCTGAGATACATATTTATTTGTCTAGACAATATCCCACATAAATGATGAACCTATAGGAATTGAAGATTGGCAATAGTTTTCTATGCAACTAGAAATGAACTACCTATGTTGCACTGATACGGATACGTCAACACGGATATGACACGATACGGATACATGACACGTCAATTCTTAAAAAATATAGGATACAGGTACAACACTGACACAACATTATAATTTATAAATCATAAACACAAATTAAGAAAACAATTAAAGCATAATATTTGAAATGAAAAAAAAAAACGAAAGCAACACATTTGTATCCTTGTAGCTTATAATATCAAAATAAAGTAAGCATTGAGTTAAGGGAAAAGTTAAAACTTAAAACTCATTTCCTGATAAGAATTTTGTGGCATGATTCCACTAATTATGTTGTTGCATGATTTGGTGGCATGTTTACTAAATAACATATGAGAGCTAAACTTCTTTTTTTTTCCATTTAAGAAAACATACAAACCACAATAACATGATTTTTTTTTTAATATATGAAAAAAAAATCAAAGCATTACAAATGCAAAATAATTTGATGCCCTAATAATCTATTTTCTAGTAAACTAATATCAATGTAAATGGCTCGTAGGTTTGAAAATGAGAGAACCTTGCTTGGTCGAGAAAGTAAATATGAGTATATGACGCGTCTTTTTTCGAATTTTTTTTCGTCTTTCAACAGACACGCGTATCCGATATGCTTGTCCATTTGAAATTAAATAGTATTTTAATTGAATACAGCTTTGGCATACCTGACACGTATCGGTGCCGTATCAGACGTGTATCCATGTCTGACACGTATCAGATACAACACGCCTTCATAAATAGATGTATCGGTGCAACATAGTGAACGACTAAAGGAATTTTGTAGGTGTCATATTTAAAAGGATTATTTAATTTTTTTTCTAATCATGAACGATCAAAGACATTGGCAATGATCTGTGTTTGATTTGCCTTCAACCAGTTTATTCTCTATAGCATAGATTAAATTGTCCTTGTGTGAATGATAAATGTGTGATAAGCATATCATTATACTTATCATATGCTACATGTATTCTCTTATATAAGTTTAGTTTTGTCTTTCTCAGATAAAGTATGGTATACTTGCCATAAACCATTCTATAAGCCTTTATATAAATGGTGTATGCTTAACAATAACTACTTTATGAACTTTTTTGTTCGAATAATGTTTTACACTAAAATTTGTTTGTTCTGTTTGAACTCTTTATAATAATTCTCAGGTGTTGTTTGGCAACAAGTAGGATTTAATTTTAGTGGGAATTAGTATATCCTGTAAATCTGGAATTAATAAATTTAGAGGGTGTTAAATCTTGAAAAACAATTTGTATGACATATGCTAAATCCCGAAAAATTGTTTGGCAATGTAATTCAAGATTTAAGGTAATTGGTTTATTTAAAATTAAATTGACTATGGCTTGAATTTAATATATTATAATGATAAAAAATATAATTACAAATTAGCTTAATTATTACTAATTATCAAATTAATTATTTAAGTGTTACTTTTAAATTACTAATTATCTAATTATATTCTTAAATATTAATTAGTTAGTTAATTATTTTTTTTAAATATAAATTATTTTACTAATATTCATACTTGATACGTCCTCAAAAAATTATCTTGATCGGGCACGAATCTCGAGGCAAAATCAAGTTGGAAACTTCTGAAATTAAAATTGGGACCATCCCAACTCCGATTTCAGCAAACTTATAGTCAAACTGAACTTCTCGAGAATACGAACCCAACGACACCAAATTCAACCCAATCTAAGCCCAAATGGGTCCAAATCAAGGGTCTGAACCGTTGTTGGAGGGTTTGAACCACAATTTGGATTATCAAACGGTTTCCAAACATAACGTGCTTATAGTCGAATCGAGCAGCTCGACGAGACGAATCCAACAAGCCCAAGATCATTGAATTCTGACATCACTAAGACATTCAAATATCCATCAAACGGTCAATGATCAAGGGGTTCAACATTGGCCATCCATCCAACCACTCCCCATTTGCCCTTGATCTCCCACCTATTTACAGGCCATGTCACTCCAAAAATCTATAAATAGACCACTCATTCCTCTTGAAAGGGGGGCTCCAAGAAAGAGTGCAAGAGAGAGATCGGAGATGGCTCTTGCCTCCTCGCTCCTCGACCACCGCCGGACCACCGCATGACATCGTTGCTTCGCCGAACCACCACTTGAGGCCCTCACCCTCGTCGGACCACCGCTGGAGTCCCTCACCTTCGCCAAACCACCTCTTGAGGCCCTCACCTCCATCGGACCACCACTTGAGGCCCGGACTTCCGCCGGACCACCACCTGAGGCTCGGACATCTACCGGATCACCACCTAAGGCCCGGACTTCCGCCGGACCACCACCTGAGGCTCGGACATCTACCGGATCACCACCTGAGGCCCGGACTTTCGCCGGACCACCACATGAGGCCCGGACTTCCGCCGGACCACCACATGAGGCCCGAACTTCTGTTGGACCACCACCTGAGGCCCGGACTTCTGCCGGACCACCACCTGAGGCCCAAACTTCCGTCGGATCACCACCCGAGGCTCGGACTTCCGCCGTATCACCACTTGAGGCCCGGACTTTCGCCGGACCACCATATGAGGCCAGGACTTTTGTCGAACAAGCACTTGAGGCCCGGACTTCTGCCGAACCAATGAACCACAATCTGATGCCCGGACTTTCGCCGGACAACCACCTGAGGCCCAGACTTCTGCCGGACCACCATCTGAGGTCAGAACTTCTGCCAAACCATCACCTGAGGCCCGGACTTCTGCTGGACCACCACTTGATGCACAGACTTCTGCCAGACCACCACCTAAGGCCCGGACTTCCGCCGGATCACCACCTGAGGCCCGGACTTTCGCCAGACCACCACCTGAGGCCCAGACTTTTGTCGGACCACCATCTGAGGCCAAGACTTCTACCAAACCACCACCTGAGACTTCTGCCGGACCACCACATGACGCCCGAACTTTCGCTGGACCACCACCTGAGGCCCTGTCTTTTACCGTACCACCATCTGAGGCGAGGACTTCTGCCAAACCACCATCTGAGGCCCGGACTTCTGCCGGACCACCACCTGAGGTCCGGACTTCTACCGGACAACCACCTGACGCCTAGAGTTCTACCAGAGTACCACCCTACTATAATGGTCTTTCTGACCCCGATCTCCGTTCAACTACGGTCTTTCGGAACCCTGTCTCCTGCCGACTATGATCCTTCCGACCTCTATCACCTACTACGGTCCTTCCGACATACATCGCCAAACAACGATCTTTCTAACCTCGGTTTCCTGCATACTCCGGTCCTTCTGACCTACATCGTCGGACAATGGTCTTTCTGACCTCGATCTCCTGTCTACTACGGCCTTTCCGACCTATATCCTATCAACTATGATCATGCCGACCAAACAAACATGTCTATGTTGATTATTTTAACTCCCACCATGTAATGCGCCTTATATAATGTACATTTGTGATATCAAGCCAAAGCCTTCTCCCTAAGAAGGGCCTCATTTGTAATCGACTAGAAATAATAGTGGATTCATTCAAACTAGGCCATGCCCCATGATTTTTCCCCTTTTTAGGGGTTCCACGTAAAAACTCTAGTATCTCTTATGAACGCTGCACCATCTCTCTTATCTGCTCTATGTTGGATCTTCGAACAATGGTAAGACGCTAAACATTATATTTCTCAACTACTGCGAATACTCCAGGACGCAACAATACTAATGATTTAACTAATTAGTTAAATATTAAACTAATTTAATGATAATTATACTACTAAAACTATAATAACTAATAAATTAAAAATGTTAATTAAACTAATTTAATGATAATTATACTACTAATTATTCAATTAAGTTAAATTAGATTTCTTAATTATAGTACTACTAATTACTTAATTAATCTAATTAATTATTAATATGTTAATTATATTATAGTGCTAATTTAGTTTAATTTATTACATTATCAAATAATAATACTTAATAATGTAGGCTGTATAGAGTTTGTTTTTCCTCTTATCAGGTGCTTCGTCGCTTTTCCTCGTTGTCGTCACCATTTCTTCGTGGCTACTTTGGCTTCGCATGCAGTGCGAGCTTCGCACAACGGGAGCTCGCTCGCTGCTTAGCCTCCTTCGAAGGCGTCAGATCAGAAGTCACAACGGGAGCTAGCTTGCTGCGTAGGTAACCTTCGCATCCTTCCTTCACTATGGATTAGCTTGCTTGCAAGCTTGTAAATCCCATAGTCCGTAAATTCGTAAATCTGCTGAACCAAGGGATTTACTAAATCCTGGATTTACGTCGTAAATCTGGGATTTACTGAGGACCGGGATTTACGGAGCCCTAGAAACCGTTAGGCAAGACTTACCGTAAATATGGTGTAAATCCCAGCGTAAATCCAATATCAAACAGCCCCTAAACTGTTTGGTCAATGTTTTTAAACCAATTTGACCTGATAATATAATATTTCTTTATCTTAAAATAATTTATTGATGGTAATTACAGTTAAAAATGATTATCAAAGACAACTAATTTATCTGTAATTAAAATGCTAAATTAATTTTTAGGTATTGAGCAAAGAAAGAAATGTGCACAAAATACTGAGCTAGGGAAGCAAGGTGCACTAAATTATTTATGAAAAAAAGCTAATGCTTGATTTATTAACGACATTTTTCTACCCAGAAACGCAAGATAGGTACTAGTATAGCCACCATATTACCCTTTAATAAGCATTTTTTACCACAAAAATTACACTAAATGATAGATTTGCAAGCTACAATGGATATTTGTTGGAACCAACTATCAAATGCACAAAAACAACTGAACCAACTAAATTTATACTAATGATATATGTCGTGGTGGCAAGATAGTACCTGCAATTGAAGGTTATGCTCCCCAAGGGATCCTACGAGAGCTGCCATCTCGGCTTCTTTAGTCATCAACGATTGACGGAGAAAGGCCCTTGTGTCACATGCCTCATCAACTTTCTTCCGGTAAACTTGTAAGCACTCCATCTCTAGTTCCAGCAACATTTTATCTTTTTCTACTTCGCCCTCGCCTATCTCTGTCCATATTTGCTGCTCTCAAGCAATGTATACATGAAAACAGAAGCACATGAGCATTTTGAAATCACTATCAACATATCATAGGACTTTGTTCATAAATTCAATCATAAGTCCCAATAAAACAATTCCCAGAGTTGCTCTCGTAATCATAAAAACAAAAAAAAAACCTTCACATAAATTGGCAAAGGCATTGAAAACAAATCTACTCGGGTACAAGATTTCTAGATGATTCCGGCAACTCAAGTTTTTTCTTCACTATTAAGTAAAATATAGAAAGAAAATGAAGGCAAACCTTGTATCAAACGCCTAACCAAACCAACATAAAAAAGATAGCTGAACAGTGATCAACTCGTCCAAATCACCGATACTCTTATAATATTACGGAACACAAGCACATCATATGCCAAATGCTAAACCAAACCACAGCAAAATTATGAAATCATAAAAAAATCAAACAACCAGATCCGTACACAAAGGAAGGAACCGTTAACCGGAGTGGGATTTCTACTTATGTTTCAAGCAACAGAGCGAGCACATCCATAAAATTAAAAAGAGGAAACAGGAGTAGGGTGAAAAATAAAAAACCTCCAGCTCAATAAGCAAGGCCTCGCAAGTAGTCTGCATGTTGACGTTGGTGAGGCTTAACCTCACGGCCCCCGTCCCAACCATTCACTTGGCTGTCCCACCTTCCCCTCAGTCTCAGTTAAGTGACCAGGACAGAGTAGTACAGAGAGTGACTGAACGAGCGAGAGGTAGAGAAAGAGAGAGAGAGAGAGAGAACTATGTTTACACCTTCCTCGGTCGCCGGAAAAGCGACAAAGCAAAAACCCTAGAAGCACGCTCAGAGCTCATTAAAGAAAAAGAGAGAGGTAGCGAGTTAAACGAAAGATGAAAGATGAGTGAAACTTAGATCTAGGAGAAAATGGCATCATTTTCAGTCTACCCTGGCGGATTTCTTTCTCTACTCCCGCCTTCCCTTGGGTTTATGAAGGAGAAGAACTCTACGGGAAGCAACCGTGCAGTGAAGCAGATAAGCCGCCATTAGAGTGCACCATCAAACAGCTTCATAAGAAAATAAAGAAAGCGAAAGATGAAGGTCGTAAGCTTCGAGTCTCAGGAGACGAAATCTTCAAACAACGAAGAGAAAAGCCGTCAGCAGAGATTCCCGGCAGGCATTCACCGAAGAGCAAAGGAGAAACGGCAGCACACTTGGAAAGAAGCAGACAAAAACACTCAGTTGTAGAATATAAAGGTCATTTTACGATATTTAAAAAAAAAAAAACTTTATTTTCTTTTATTAATTTATTAATTGTGTAACCGTGCTTCTACAATCTACACCACACGAGCATGGACTAAAAATGATATTTTGTCTTATTTCAAAATGGGATATGTGAAAAAAATAAAAGAATAAAAAATTTTAAAACAAATAAAAAAATATAATCCAATTCGATTAGAATTCAGTTAATTTTTTTAATAATTAATTTATTTATTTTGATTAAGATTTGAAAGTCTGAAATATATTTGAATTAAATTGATGTATTTTATGCATGATATTATTGCTCATTAGAGTCACCTAGTTCTAAAAATAATTATTAATATTAAAATTTATATATTATATGTGAATATCCTTTTAATTTAGTTTAAATTAAAGTAAAATAACATAATATGAACCGAAAAATATGAATTTAAAACCTAACTAAATCAATGTGATTCATTTTTTATTCTAACTATAAATTAATAAAAAATAATCAAAATAATCATTAATAATAAATGAATTGAAATGTATGATTCAATTTAAATCACATTATTATATAATCATTAAGATATTTAAATAAGAAATTAGTATATTATTCATGGGATTAAAAAACCGTCAACAATAGAGTATTATCTATTAAAAAAAGGGCAAGGATGTCTATTTTTTAAAATTTTATAAATTGACATGAGATGAGGCCACAAAAAAAATCTTAGAATGGAGAATATAGAAGTTTGCCAACACCCAACATTTACTATCATTGCTAAAATTGATGCTCACCATAGAACTAAATGTCAACACCCATCATTGTTAATATGATAGACATCCATTATCACTAACAAGGCAGACACCCGTTGTAAACAACACTTATCAACATCGATAAGTTGATTCCCAATGTCACCACCATCGACATTCATCATTGCCAATCGACCAAACATGCAATGTCAAACACATGTCATTATTAATAAGGCCAACAACCATCATGGCTAATAAAAGCCAATGCATTGTCAAAACCTAAGGAAGTAAACGAGTTGATTCGAGTCGAGTATAGATACTATCAAGCTGAGCCCGTTTAGCTCGTTCAATGAGCTCGAACTCGACTCGTTGCATAAAAATCAAGCTCAAGCTCGACTCGATTGAAAAGCTTGAACTCGACTTGTTTATGAAGCTAGAATTTTTGTTACCTTAAAAAATTCTTAAGAAAATGGCATATTAATTTTTTTTAAATATTTTTAAAAAACGAGTAACTCTATCAGCTAACGAGTCTAGTTGGACTGAGCTTGAACTCGAGCTCGTTTAGTAAATGAGCTCGATTACAAGCTCGAGCTCGAACTCAAAACTCAATAAACTCTACTCACGAGCTCGTTAGCAAGTTGAGTTCAAGCCAACTAGACTCATTTACACCCCTATCAACACCAACATCCACACATATTGTTGACACTAACATCTACTCTCACTATTGCCAATAAGGTCTACAGCTTGTTGTCATCAATAAAAATGACACCAACCATCATAACCAAAATCAATGCATCTCCATCAAGGGCAATGCCTGTCGCCAACATCCACTATTAACAAAAAATTGGCGCCAACCATCATCGCCAATGATAATGCCCATCATTGCTAATAAGGCCCATTCCTATGTGCAACACTAACATCGATGCTTATATTCGTCAACAAGATGGACATCCATTTTTATAAGCTCTAACAACTAGTAGTTATAAAATCATATTCAAAACATCAATTCAAGTTCAATACTTTAATATATATAATCACATAATCAAGAGGGTATTAAGGCTTAGTAAATGGAATATGATTTCAACCATGAATATATAGCAAGGAGTATTGCAACTGAAAAATAATCTGATATATAAAACAATATTCACCATAACACAGCCGCTGCTGCTTCTCTTTCAATCTGTCCCCCTCAAGTTATCCAATTGCCTTTTACAATTCATTGAAGCTTGAAAAATTCCGGTGAGCATTCAATTTTTTCCCAACAACTGCCGAATTTTTAAATTAAAAAAAAAATCTTAAGAACTATAACAAGCAATTAAAAGTCTTTTTTGAAGAACTATAACAAGCAACTGCAAAATACCCACCGAGCTGGCTTAGGGTGGTTGGTGGACGAGCACTGTTGGGAACCCCCCATCTTGGGTTTGATTCCCCTCTACTACGGCCTCGCCTCTTTTGTAGGGCAAAACAAGTGTGAGTCCGTTGCCAGTAGGTGGGCTCGTTAAGTTCCGCTGATGATTAATTATACCGCAAAACGCTCTCTTTAGAATAGCAGCAGATAGATACTCTCATTTAAAAAAAAAAACAATTATAAAACCTTCTAATCATCTCTTCAGTACGCTTCTGAATGGCAATACTTCTCTGGTATCGCTTTCGAGGGACCCGTTTAATTTAGTGCAGAAGTAGGTCGCAGCCTATAATAATCCCATTGAAATGAATGAGAAAAAGAGATGGGCCTTTTCCATGATTAGTATATTTGGCTGTGGGGGTTTTAATGACTTAATTATTATTGCAACGGTAACAAAGCAAGATCACACGTGATCTACATAGTTTAGTATTTTAATACTCATGCTTCTGCGATTCTCTCTCTCTCTCTCTTTGTTTTTTTATATAAAATAAGATTCCAGCTGTACTCACACGCTTCACAAGGGAAAATTATTAGGTGCGGTGTACGGATGGATCATAGGACCAATCCGAACGCGTCACATCATCCAATTCACAGTAAATTGGATGATGTAGCCCATCCGAATTGGGCTCCAGGTGCATTCGGACACCGCACAGAATAATCTCTCTTTCACAAGGACATCAACGAATGTTAAACTATGGCTTCGTTTGGAACAACTTTCTCACTACTTCTGTAAAGCGGTTATGAAAACTTTTTTTTTTTAAGTTGTTGTTAGAACAGATTATCAATATAAAAACTTTTTGAAAGCAATAAAAAATTATGACCACATAAAAATTATATTTACGATCTAAAAATAAAGCATCAAACAAATTATCTCAAAAGATATAACTTATCTTGATCTGTGATGTGTGTGTAAATCTGTCTTAATTGTTCTAAATTTCTCAAAAAAAAAATACCTCACAAGAAGTCTAAATTATTGTCCTGTCCTAGAGATGGAAGAAGAATAATATAATTGCGTGATTTAGTATGATAATTATGTCATCTGGTTAATCTTATCTGATATATGCTTGCATATCCGAATGACAGATGAATGGGCCACCGGAGGAGAGGAGAGGGGGTAACGGCCGTGTTGTGTTGTTGTATTGCACAGCTGTTGGCCACTATTGCTGACGCGATATCTTTGACATTTTGCGTTAGAAAATTGGTCGGCTGCCCAGTTAATAAGCAGATCATTTTTAGGTCAGCCGTCAATTTATGCTTAGATTTTAATGGAGCATTTTGACTAGATGAGGTCCACAGATTCAAAATTACTTAATTTTGATATCACCGAGGAATTACAAAGTTTAAAGTGGCATAATTTAGAGTGTTATGAACTTTTGCAAGAATTATTAAAACGTTCCTCATTAAAATTTATAATATATATATATAGCTTTACATTTCAATAGATTAGATGAAGTCGAAGGAAAGATTTTAGAGGAGAGAATTTTTAGCTTTACAGTGGCGAGCAGCTGATGATCTTCATGTTTGATGTTAGGACGAAAAAAGTAGGGTCATTATTAATGCTCGGCATTAGCACTAAAATATGTCGTTGAAATCAATTTCGATGAAAATGAGGCTTAAATGCACAATTGATATCAACACCAACATTTATTGTCGCTAATAAGGCCTACTTCTAATGTTGACACCAATAGTAAAATCAATTATTGCTAATAACATCGAAGCTTTAGCAATGCTAAAGCCCACCATCAACACCAATGCTAATGTCCGACATTGCCACCAAGGTCAATACTTGCATTGATACAAGGTCTATAGTCGTTATCAACATCAATGGTGATTCCCTCCTTCACCAGCAAGGTCGACACCCACCATCAACATCAATGGTGAAACATGTCATTGATATCAATGCTAACATTTGCCATCACTAATCGGGCTAACATTTACGGCTGTTAATATGGTTCACGCAGCCTATCAAAAATAAGGCCAACTCCTGTCATTAACATCCACACCAACACCATTCATCACCATTGAAGGCCAATGTATGATGTCAACATCAATGCCTAAAGTCGCCAATAGGCATCATTGACATCAACATCAATGTCTGTCATCACCAACAACATTGAAGCCTAATGTAGACATCAACACTAGCATTATCATCAACATCGATGATGACACATGGCATTGACATCAGCTTTGACACCCAACATCAACAACAAAGGCCCTTGCCTAATGTCAACATCAATACTAATCTACGATCGTGAACAAGGAAATTGCTCATTATCGAAATTAATGTCAATGCCTTACCATCACCAATAAAGTCGATGTAAGACACTGATAGCAATGTTGCACCCATCTCCATCAATAAGACTAATGCCTATCATCAGCAACTGCATCAAAGCTCCCTGTCGCCAACAAGGTAAAATCTTCTATTGTCAACTTTAATGCCAACACTCATCATTACTAATAATGTTAGTGTCCAATGTCTATGCTAACACTTACGCCTTCTGTTGCTAGTAAGGTTGACGCATGCAATTGATATCAATGCTGACACAATGAAACTTATCATCCTAATCATATTGACGTCTATCAACAATAATAGCATGGATGCATGTAGTTGCCAATGAACTTGACAAACTTCAATTAAAAAAAAATGATGTCTCTCATCACTAAAAAAGACGACACCACTATAAACAACAACATCAATATTTGTTCTCGCCAGCAAGCTTGATGCATGTCATCACCAATAAGCTATTAGCATGTCATCAACATGAATGATAAAGGCCACTATTGATGTAATACCCGATTTAACTAGCCGGTTCAATTGAATGGCCAACCATAAATAAAAAAACACAACAGGCGAGTAAACGAGTAGAGAGAAAAAAATCGCGGGCTAGGCGGACAACATGAGAGCTCGTACAAGGCTGGAAAGGTCAGCTTTTGTTTCTAAGCGAAGAATCGCGTACGAGAGTGAAAATATACGACTCCTCGTGAGTCATATCTTCGATTCATTCAATCCAGTGCAAGTAAACGAGTGTGAGTTTCATGTATAACAATTATGTTATAAGAATAATTACCCAGTGAGTTTACTTATAAAATCATTCTATTAAACTAACATTTTCAAGTAAGTATCATGATAAGTGAAAATAACTAAAAGAGATGAGTTTGTCTACAAAAGACGTCGCTCCAATGAAAATAGGTAAAATGTGTTTATATTTAAATGCATATTCAATGAATAATGAATATTAATCATTACTCTTATGTGTAATTGTGAAAATATATATTAACCGTTCGACTATTCGTTCCCGCCACATTAATTTGAGTTTTCAGGCCGGGTCGTGAGAAGTGTCACTAATGCCAACACCTAATGCTGACATCAAAACTAACAATCAATACTGACATCAAGACCAACACACACCGCCAACACAAATGCAGACGTTTATTATCCCCAACAAGAATAACACATGTTATTAACACCAATGTCAATGCCTCATACCGACTCATGTGACAACACCATAATCGTAGCCTAACATCAACATCACCGTCAACTCCCTCCATTGAAACCAATAATGACACATAACATCCATACTAATGCCAACACTTGTCACCAACACAATGTTGACACCCAAAGTTGACAAGAAACTTAAACCTATCATTTGATGTTAATTCTAACGTCCAACATTGACACAAACTATTTAATCGCCAAATTACTAGGACTCATCAAATGGATATATAAATATCCATATGAGAAGTTCTACTAATTGTGCGATCAACTAATTTGTATCAATATTGGATGATAGAATTGGCACTTACGGTAGGTCTCAACGTTGGAAAGGGCACATTCATATATACATATGAACTTCATAACCTATGTTTGTATGGGGAAAGGGCACACGACTTAGCATGCTTGAATTTCTAACTACCACAACAGCTTATTACTTCCATGACATATTCTAAATACTCAACATTTGCATGTAAGACATTTGTTTTAAGATAATAAAACAAATGGATTAAAAAAAAAGGTTATTGAACAGTTCTTTATTACCATGCTTGATTAGTATCTTCACAATAAAATAACTAATGCATTACATGCACGGTGGGAGAATAAGATGATGGCACATTCTTGTGGGTGAAACAAACCCGTTCTGTTTTGGCCCCACCATGAGGAACAATTATTACGTCCTCCGACCGAATGCAGAGAAACATTCGGTCGCAGGCAAAAATCGCG